CTTGTGCGGTGGTTAGGCGAAACAGAGCGAGCATGATGGTAGGGCGGTACGCGGCATAGGGTCCACACGGTGGGGCACGCAAAAACAGGTGGCGCATGCTCTTTTCGCTGCGGCACGGCCTCCCGCGTGAAGGACCGGAGGCATCCGATATTTTAGAGCGGCTTGGGATGTCGGGGCCCAAATACAAGTTAATAATAATATTTTTTTTGGAGCAAGAGGAAATATGTGCACAAATTAAAATGGGCCATGGTCCGTTATGTATGTGTTGGTGCCATATGGTCCGTGCTACCACAGAAGTGTCTCGTGGCCCATGGACCGAACAGTGTTGATTAAGGAGCCCATGCATGCGCTCATCCCTTGCAGGTTTTTTAATTCATTTTTTGCAAAATTATTTGTCCGAATGAATAAAAAAGAATTGCAAAACTATACAACTGCCGCGATAAAACCGGCGAGAGGTACTTGCTGCCGGTTGAATTGACGGAACTTTCTTTTTTCTGAGATCGAGTCATGCACGGCATCCGACCGAGTCTCGGCCCGAGCCGGATTCGAGTTTCGACCGAGCCCACCCTTAAAACAATCGGCCTCGTTGTGTTGTGCACCGCGTGATATTTCACAAAGCTATTCCATTGATCGCGCGTTCAATTCCGCCGCCGCAATGGCGTACCACGTTGAGCACCTGCACTCGGCGGAGGCCGTGAACGACGCCATCGACCGTGAGGGAGAGAGTGGCAGCCTAGCGGTCGTCCGGTTCGGCCGGAGCGGCCACGACGACTGCGTGCGCTTCGACGCCGCCATGGTCGCCGCGCCCGAGCGGGTCGGGCCTGTCGCGGCGCTCATCGCCGTGGACATCGACGAGGTGCAGGACTTCAACGCCATGTACGACCTCCAGTACAAGCCCTGCACCGTCATGTTCTTCTACAGGTACCGCTACGTCGACGTGCGTGGATTTGGCTCCAGTGACTACTGGGCCGCTATCAGCGGCGCCGACGAGTTCGCCGACGTCGTCGGGGTGGTGCACGAGACAGCCAACGCAGGGCGCCGCATCGTTGACTTCGGCCACGGCGTATAGCTTTTTTTTAATAGTTAGTCAATTTCTGTTAAATAATTAGGTAATTTTCGGATTAAAACCAAAATATAAATCATGACAATCTCTAGAACTAGCATAAGACAACTCGCACATGATTTAACATCGTAAGCATAAATACTTGTGTAACCATAGCTCACCGGTCATATTAAGTAGCTCAAAGAAAGACATCAGATCACAGGTGTATACCTTTCGACTGTAGCAGGAGACAACGTCGCCGGTGATGGAGATACAGATGATGACGCTGCTAGTGGTGATGGCGCGAGATAGCGGTGGAGGAAGAGCTCATGACGAATACGCCTGAACGTAGCGCCTCTCCCATCCGATCTGGTGTCGCGATCACGATTTAGCTGCTAGTGGTGATGGCGCGAGATCGTCGATGAGCGGTGGAGGAAGAGCTCATGACGAATACGCCGGGACGTAGCGCCTCTCCTGTTCGATCTCGTGTCGCGATCACGATCTAAATCGTTTAAGACTGCAAACTTGAAGGCCAAGCAACCAAAACTAAAAAAATGCAAAGAGAGGCACATGTGGGCTTTCCTCCTCACACTAGACTTAAGAAAATGGAGAGAACTCCCATATTTAAGTATGGCTGCCTCCACTTCCACAAGCAAGGTGGGACTAGCACACATGAATGGGCCTTTGAGATTTTTCTTAGAAATTTCAGGATTTCTTATATGGGCCAAGCCCATCTAAATTTCAATAATTTCTTCTCGTTGTCATTGTTCTGCAACCTCATGTGCACAAAATTCTTTTAGGGCTGTTTACATCCCTTCATTTTAAAGAAATTGAAATCTAGTTAATGGACTAAGCTATTTGGCTTGGAATTTGGTATTCTACAACTTTACAAAGTTCAAATATAAACCTATCTTAAATTAAATTCATGGAGTGGGGGATGAAAATTAATTCTATGCGTCTCAATTCTATGTTTCTACATTGTAACTTATAGCACACTCCTCGACTTGCTTCCTTGTAGTAGAAGTGCAGCACATAAGTGTCTCACGCTAAAAATAGTATACAAATATGGCCCCACTCGGCTTACCTTAAATCCGGTTTGTTCGGCTTATTTTTTCAGCCGGAACAGTGTTTTTTTCTCACAACATTTCAGCCAGAACAGTGTTTTCAGCCAAGTTTCACATACAACGATATTAGCTTTATTGATTTGTGTCTAAATTATGGTTGTTAGAATAGAATTCAATTCCAAGGATCCAAATGGGGCTTATCTTTTTTTTTTGTATGAATACAATTGTATGCATAATGCATACCAATGGGCAAAAAAAATCTGGTATCCTTCATAAAAAAAAACTTATACATCATCTGGATGCGACGATGAGCAATCTCTCATATATAGTTCGCAATAATCTTACTACTAGCGCCTCTAATTTCAACAACACTTCCCGCGTCTCTAAATCTAGTACCACACTAATGCATAGCTTATTTTAATCTCTTATAATGTCCTTTGTCACACTGTGGATGTGACCTAATTTTCATCGAACACGTGGACGTCCCATCATGGCACATCAAATCTGATGCTGACTAATTTTAGTGCGGTACATTGTGTTTTTTTTGGAAAAAGGTAATACGCGACGGCACGACCCCGCTCCCGCGTTCCCTCTTCCTCCCGCGCCCGCGCTCATGCCCGAATGAGCCTGTGCATCGGAAACGAAGAAGAAGATGGCGGCGGTTAGGGTTCCGACAGCGACAGGTTAGGGTTCTGGTCATCGGCGGCCTTAAAAAGGAGGATTTGGGGGGAGGTGGGAGAGACGGCGGCGGGGCGGGGTGGCGGGAGATGGTGGTTGGGCGGGGGTGTCGCGACAGTGTTCGTCGACGAGGTGCTATGATTAGGGTGGGTGGGGTCGAGGGGTGAGGGTGGGTTGCGGGTGGCGCGGCGAGGCGGCTCGCCGCCAACCGCCAGTGGCATCTCATTGGCTACATGATTATACTCTCTCTTTATGTGGAGGTAACCTATTTCCATCTCAATGTCCTCCCTCCACGATCAATCGCATATGTGATCTTCTTCCATTTTATATGTTGTGAACATCCGTACAACCGAGCTACAGTCATTTCATGGATTACCCGGTTCCTCCACATTCCGCGTGCTGCAAGGAAAAGGCCTTCGCAACACGCCAAAGCTTATATTTGAAATGACCAAATGGCCAAGAGAGGGTTATTTGGGCTCAATCTAAAAATTTATAATGAATAAATAACCATAGGGTATGCAAAAACTACTCACAACTTGCATGGTTAAAGTCTAGGACTAAAATGATCATATATAATAAGATTGAGTCCTAGGACCATCACGTTGGTTAAGAGCACACTTACAATAAGGTCCCTAGTTAGGGATTTAAAATCTATTAGTAAACACACTCCACCAAGGAGAATCGTAGACCCTCTCCTGCCTCTAGGAAGAGACATCTGTTAATCTAAATTAAACTACTCACTGCCGAGCCTAACAAGCCATCATGCCCATCAACGGAGAGCCCATCGAGCCTGTCGATGCCAATATCAATGCCTGGGGGGCTCTTCCTCCTCTCCCACCTCCTCTATATTGTCTTGATGGTCGCTAGCTCTTCCTCACACCATCAAAAGTCACACATCTCCATGTGCGACAGGTCCTCGTCTGCGAAATCAAACAGAAAGAGCTTTGCCGCCGCCCGCCGGAGTATCCCCTTTACAGCATCACATATCAGGAAAAAAAACGACAGTACAATGAGAAGGCACGATGGCCAGATAGAGCCATCACAACATCATGAGATGTTGTGGATGGTGGCCCCACACATACCTGATGGAGGAAGTCACTTCACCATTGGTTCAGGAGACGCTAGACGAGCAGATCACAGCATCAGGAGATGCTATGGACGGTGGCTCCACACATACCTGATGGAGAAATCGCTCCACCATTGACTTACAAGGGCCCGACAAGTAGACCTTTGAGCTATCTACTTAGTTATCCACCGTCTTTGTATGATTTGAGCTATCCTTTAGATTCATGATAATAGTTGTAATGACATCACAACAGTTGGTGCGGTGGCCAAGACGTTTTATTTCGTAGCCATATGAGTGAGATCTGGTCTACAAATTGATAGTCACCATTATGTGTCATTCAATTCTTTTGTATAACAGGTCGTGTACTTCCCGGTGTGCAGAGACAGGAAGATTTTTTAAGATACTTGGTTAACTTGATGTAATTCTTGAAATTTAATACCGCATCCGTTCTAAAATACAAGGTATGCAAGCGATTTTCAGACAAAATAAGAAGCCTGACAAAAGACCACCATGCCTCTCACTAAATAGGATGGAAGAAGTAGTTCTATTGTTACTTTATTTAATTATGAGCCGGCTGATTTGGGTGATGTCAAGTTTAAAAGGCTTAGTATTTATATTGCTAAAAAAGACAGGATTTATTATTGTTATAGAAACAGAGGAGAGAGAGGAGCATGCCGAAAAAAGCTTGGTTCTTTCGGGCAAAAAATATCTCGCCCATAACCGTCCTCTGGACCAGTCAATCTTAGATTTTTGGGCTAGCTAAGGCTGCCCGCGCAATCCAGTGGGCTCAGACCAGGCCCATGGGCTAGGCCAGGCTCAATTTACTTAGGTTGAGGATTGACAACCCAGAATACCATATACATATAGAACTTTTTGAACTCTCAATTCTTATATTTCAGGGCGGAGGGAGTAGTATTTTTCTTTATCTAAACAATTCGATTTCCATTTACCATTTACCATTACCATTACAGTACATAATTAACCAGATCGTCCTGTGGAAACATTGGACCCTGCATGCTACAACATCCAAAGCGAAGTAGGAGTGGAGGAAATTAAATGTTCGTTCGGCCACTAAACGTACCTGAACAACTTTATTTCTTAGATTAATTTTGCACGCATATAGTACTACTAGTAATAACTTTGCCAGATCCTACATAAAGTGGTGGCCGTGCGCGAAACCTGAATAATACTTGTCACTGGCTTGTTGGTTCTTTGGCGCGCGACTAATTGCCTTGAGGGAAACAACGTTCACAGGGTACTTGGTCTTTACTTTCTGAAGGTGCACTACGACATTCTTGGCATACAGCTCGAAGAGGTCGTCCAATACGTGCTCGCCAAAGTGGTGCGCGATGAGAGGCCCAATCACGGCCTTGATGAACTTGGCGACGTTGACGCCGCTCCGAACGCCATTGAGCACGAGGTCGCCGTCGTCCTCAATGTCGTCGTGTGGATCCCAATTGGACTCGAAGAGGTGGATGTGGATGAGATCGACGGCGACCTCAATGTTGTCGTGCGGATCCCAATTGGACTCGAAGAGGTGGATGTGGATGAGATCGAACGCCTGGCTCTGCCTGATCACGTCCCTCACCTCGTCCACCGACGGCGCGTAGAACGGTAGGTTGAACGAGTCCAGCTTCTCCTTCTCCACACGGCCATGCCATGGTGATGTTGATACGGATTACGCTAGTTGTGAGATGGGTGTATCCTTTTTCTAGCACCCGAGTTTTGTTTTTGCAGCTCAACTGTTGTCTGTAACACCCTCGGTGTTACACCCTAAATCATTTATTAAAATATGTCATGAGCATCATATTTATATGTTAATGCATGTGATAAAGTGTGTAGATCAATTTCTTGTAACTTAAAATGATCAATAAAAATACTAAATAAAAGTTGATTCAATAGCTCATGTATATCAAGTAGGGTTGAAAACCAAATTTTATTAAGCAAAAATACTATAGAACATGTGTGTGATACTTAAATAAAGTTTGAAGTACAAACTTTGTAGATGACAGTGAAATACTTGTTATCAAAAAATGATATTACTAACTAATATTTCTACTAGCCTAGAAATTGCAAATTGACATCAAGTTCAGCTCAAAAACTTAGAAAAATTCCAAGTTATCAATGGCTAGACATTGCTATGTTTAGCAAAATATTTTGAGAGATTGGGTTAAGGGGTGGTGTAGTGTTATAGCTCGATTTGGTAGTCTTATTTGCCATCTTGAGCATGGTGAAGATGGTTTGGCTTCTGAAGCAACTGTTTAGTCGTTTTGGGCGCTTTCAAATTCATGCACGACACAACCTCGGGATGGTTGGCGCCGTGCGCGCGGTCACCACGCGGCACGCACATGGCCGTGTCCCACGTGGTCAACCCGTGTCGCCACGCTGGGTCAGTCAGGCAACCTAGGCTTGGCCGAGGCCGGCCGCAACGAGCCGCTGGCCTTGCGCCCTGTTGCCCTGCCTTGCACTGCCGCCATTGGTGCCACCACGGCCACGCTGTGCTGCCGTCGCCTCACCGTTGCATCTGCACCCCCTCTACGGCTCTGCACCGTTGTCCGCCCTGCCGGTGGCCTTGCCGCTGCTGCGCGTGCTTCGCGTATCCGTGGCATCGACATATGGCCGTACCTGCTGTTGCCTCGCCCATTAAGGCGCGGCAGTCTCGTGCCATGTCAGTCGCGGACGCTGCGCACGCCTTGTCCGTAGTGCCTGCGTGTGTGCATCCTGATCGCGCCGCTCGCATCCCGCCAAGGCGAGGACGAGCTGAGCTCTGACCTACCCCCTCCCCTCTCTCTTTGCTGCTGCCTTGGTGGACTGAGCCGCACCATTAAAACAAGCAGGGAGGAGTCGCCATCGCCTGATTCGTCGCGTCGCTGGCTCCGTCACCCAGCTGCCTAGCTACCCACCCCACCCCACCTTGAATGGTGCCCGGTTGAGCTTCAATTTTGGAGCTTTTCCCCATCACCATGCCGATAAGGCCGAGTCCACCCATCACCAAGGGTAGCTCCCACTTGACCACCTCGAGCTAAACTGGCTGCACCGTTAGACTCGCCTCAAACCCCTCCTCGCCATGCGTACCTGAGCCGTACCCCTACCGTTGTCCCGACACTGCTGACACGGTCGTGTCCGCCGTGGCTCGTCGCCGAGCTCGCCGCGCGTACGTGGCCAGCCTTGCTCAGGGCGTCTTCGACCAAACCATCACCTCGGCTAGGTCCTTGGTGAATCACTGATGCTCACCCGCTACCTCTACTGCTTCCTTAGCGTTGTGGCTCACCGAAACATTGTCATCGCCACCGCAGGTTGCCCGCCGACGTGGAGAAGTCGCCCTACTTCGTCTCTGATCTTCTAACCACTGCCCAGCGTTGCGTGTCAGTCCGTAGGTGAGCATCGACCCCCTAGCTAGGTCTGCGTGGGTCCCAGTTGGCCGGCATAGCGGCTCCGTGCCGGCCACCGCTGCGTCGGCGAGCGCGAGGGCTTCGAGGACCTTCCCAATGCGAAGATGAGTCTCTTTGGGGGGCCTTCATGCATAGTCGCTGACTAAAGGAATAAGGCGCATAGTGGTCACGTTAATAGCAGAAAGCGCAGGGGCTTTTCTACTAAAACGCCAGCGCGCGCGTGGGCTTCTCCGCCGTGGGCCGCGTCGCATGGGCCGTGTGGGAGGTTTCGTTTTTATTTTCCTAAGGAATTAGAAATAATTTTCTAATTTAATTTTTGAGATGATCTTTATTAAATCATATAAAATCATATAGGTGTCCAAAAATTATGAAACAAATTTTATTAGGTTTCTAAAATTGTGCTATATCTGTTAGCGTATTTAGTTCATATATATACATGTTGATACCAGGAGCTATTAAATCATTTGAAAATGTTTAATATTGTTAGGATAATTATTGTAGGATTTTTTTGTGGTAAAATTGGTGATTGCTTTAGTCCTGAAATTTTTATAGTAGCTTTATTTTATTATTATGTGTTCACTGTAATTTTTGTAACCTTAGAATAGATTAAGCATTAGGGTAGTTAAATGCTCTTTGTTTCAATATACATTAACTCATTAGTAGAAATAAGGATATACCCTTAAATTGCAAAACTAAGTGTTTGCTAGTTGAATCCAACACTTTGCTTGATAAAGTTGATAGTTAACTTAGTACCTTAGTCATTAGAGCTAGCTTAGTAGCTTAGTATGAGTATTCTTAGTTGCTATTGCTTAAATGCTAAGTGTTGCATCATCATTGCATGCATGTAGAGAACGAGTTGGCGGATATTATGACCACCGGCGATCGTGAGTTCGAGGAGATCATCGAGGAGTACGAGGAGAAGATTCTCATGCAGAAGGAGGTCCCGGAACCACCACTGACTGACTCAGCTGACACTGCGCCTGCCCAAGGCAAGCCCCGATGCATAACCCCTTATCTTTGGATAATCACTATTTATATATGTTATGTGCATTTATGTTACATGAATTTTATGAAAACCACATGCATATATATACCTATCCTAAGAGTCTTACTATTGCAGGTTCGAATAGCTGCTATGCTTAGGTTTCGGTAGCGTGAGTAACCTGCCGTTACTCATAATAGGTGATTATTATTACTCTCATAATAAAATGATGAAAGGAAAAATGGAGACAGGGCAGGGATATGGTATGGGTATTCGTGGGTATAACAGGTTGTGTCCCGCGGCCAACTGGGCTTAGCTTGGTTACACTTTTTTCCCTGTTTATGTCGATTAAGGACCGTCCATTGCTGTGGATGGTAGTCAGGTCATAGACTTATTATCCTAAACACATACTTGCTTATGGGAGCGGGAAGACTCGTTACGCTCTTGTCGTGGGTTCCAGCTCTTTCCGGACCGACTGATTGGAGGCGGGGAAAGGTAGAGGTCTAAGCACCACACTGAGACTGGGTCTCTAGTGTGGGGGCTTGGAGTCTAAGTTTGGACGGGGATCTAGACCTCGTGATAGAAGTGGAATGGGTTGGTCTTGTTTATGCCTAGGGTACAAACAGGGCATGTGTTTTGGGGTACCTAGCTGAGATACACTAGTTCACGAATCGCCGTTTCTGTGAGACGGTACGACTTGACTATGGTCTAGCACTATAGTAAGAACTGGAAGATGAAAGATGGTGAAATAGTTCTGATTGCTTAACTCTTGCTTTAAAGTAGAACAGGTGCTTACCAAGAATAGTTAGCTAATGAAGTAATCAGGACCACTAATAAATCTTGACTGTAAGGATTAACTATTAGTAATGCTTTTCGTAAACAAAAAGAGAACAACAAACCCTTATTGTATATCATACTCCTTGGAGTCGGGAAATTATTCCCACTAGTCAGGTAAGTCTTGCGAGTACATTATGTACTCAGGGTTTATTTTACCCCTGTTGCAGGTGCAGCCTGAAGAGTAGCTCTTATGTGGAGGATTCTTCTGGTGGGCACAGTCGAATCCTTGTATCGTTTTCGCTAGATGCTTATTTTCATTCCGCTGTTTAATTATTGCACTCTGAACTCTGGTATTGTAATAAATAATTTCTAAAAGCTCTTATTGTATGAAATGACTAAGTATTGTAAGCTCGTACTCATTATTGGATTTTGGATGTAAAACGTGGATTATTTCGAGTTCTCCCTTAGGGTGGGCTCGTCGGAACTGTCCGATGTAGCTAACTTTTAGGGTGCTTAGTGTCTAGAGGAAGACGAGCGTCTCCGAAAACGTGTTATTTCGGGCGGTTCTGCCACATTGTTCGAGTGATTTTTGGTTGTTCTCCCAACTGCAAACCCAAGATTCACTAGGGGTACTATGAAACTTATGTAAATAGTAGTGTTGAATAGTACATTGGTCAGTGTATCTTGTATATAAGACATGACATTTTTTTTTCTGTAGCAACTCTAACTCAACGGTCTCATATGCTTTTGGAACAATGAAAAGTGTTGTATCAAGCATAATAATTCTAACAGTTCCATATAATTTTGGAATGAAAAGTATTCTATCAGATATAAATTAAAATTCCAACAGTTTCACACGCTTTTTCGGAATGAAAAGTGTTGTATCATATAGAGTAATAATTTCTGGTTAAAACGAGAGTACACTAATGACCGTAAGGACGTCGCAACCGACCGACTCTCGGCCCGAGCTAGATTCGAGTTTCGACTGAGCCCTTAAAACAACCGGATTTGAGTCAACATTGTCATGGGTTCGAGCCCCACGGTGGGTGCCAATGTTGACTCCCAGCCAAGAAAAATAGGAGAGCGAAGGAGAGAGAGGAAGGAAAGGAGCCACACTAATGATCAGCCAAAAGGAACACCCCTCCACCTCCACCTTTCCCCTTTTTATGAAAATGCCTTCGGGCAATCTTTCATTCAACTAATAACAATGTTACATCATTTGATAAAATCAGAAAAATGAAACTAGGGGGTGAATCAACCCAAATACAGAAAGTTTTAGAAACAAAAGCTTGCCGAGCTAATTCATGAGCATCCCCCTTTCCCCTTTTTATAGGAGAGGTGGGAGGGGATGTTCTTATTATTCCCCATGGAGGGGCTTGTATTTACAAAAATGGCACTAAGGGCTACAAATGGGCTCCGAATATTATTATGCAAGCTCCTAGGCTATGTAATTGGTCCCTGAACACAATAGTGGGGGTCTCCAACATATAATACACCCTCAACACTACACCATTCCGCGTGTTGCAAGGAAAGTGCCTTCTCGGTATGCCAACGCTTCAATTTGAAATGACCAAATAGCCAAGAGAGGATTATTTAGGGTCGATCTAAAAATTTAATGAAGAAATAACCATAGTGTGAACATAATAATCATAATAAGATCGAGTCCTTAGGACCATCAAGTTAGTTAAGAGAATACACTAAAATAAGGTCCCTAGTTATGGAATTAAAATCTGCGAGTAAACATATTCCAGCATGCATGGAGAATCCAGTCCTCACCCGCCTCTAGGAAGAGGCATCTATTAATATAAATAAAAGATAACGGAATAAGTGCTTGCTTCTGGAATGAACCAAAAAAGGAGCTCCCTGTCGAGCCTATCAATCCATCATGCCCACCAATGGCGAGCCCATCGAGCTTGCCGATGCAAATGGCTCTTCCTCCTCTCCTGCCTCCTCTATTGTCTTGATGGTCGCTAGATTGTCCTCCCACCATCAGAAGTCACATACCATGCGCGACACGTCCTCATATGCGACATCAAACTGGAAGAGCTTTGTTGCCTAAGTATGCCCTTCACAACATCACAGATCAAGAAAAAAAGGTAGAATGAGAAGGCACATGGTCAGACGGGGACATCACAACATCAGGAGATACTTTGGGTGGTGGCCCACACATACCTGACGGAGGAACTGGCTCCACCATTGGATCAAGAGACGCTAGACGGGGACATCACAACATCAGGAGATGTTGTGGACGATGGCCTCACACATACCTGATGGAGTAAGTCGCTTAACTATTGGATCGGGAGATGCATGCGCTAGACAGGGACATCACAACATCAGGAGATGTTGTGGATGATGGTCCCACACATACCTGATGGAGAAGTCGCTCCACTATTAGATCAGGAGACGTCATACGGGGACTTCACACATTAGGAGATGCTGTGGACGGTGGCCTCACACATACCTAATGGAGAAGTCACTCCACCATTGGATCAGGAGACACGGTGATCAACGCCATTGACTTAGAATGGCCCCAACAAGTAACCTTTGAGCTATCTACTTAGTTATCCGCCTTTATTGTATCATTTGAGCCATCCTTTAGATTCACGATAATAGTTGTAGTGACATCTTAGCAATTGGGACGGGTGGCCAAGACATTTTATTTTTCAGGCATATGAGTGAGCTCTACTTTAGGAATTGATAGTCACCGTTCTGTGATGGTTGAGTTCTTTTGTGTAATAGGTTGTGTACTTCCTGGTGAGTAGAGACCGGAAGATTTTTTAAGATACTTTGTTAACTTGATGTAATATTCTTCAAATTTAATACTCAATCTATCCTAAAATACAAGGTATCCAAGCGATTTTCTGGTAAAAATAAGAAGCCTGACAAAAGACCAACTTGCTCTCGCTAATAAATAGGATGAAAGAAGTAGTTTAATTGTTACTTTATTTAATTACCGGCTGGCTGATTTGGGTGATGGCATGTTTAAAAGGCTTAGTATTTATATTGCTAAAAAATAGAGGATTTATATTGCTAAAAAGACAGAGGAGAGAGGTGACATGCTGAAAAACGTCTGGTTCTTTCTTCCCAAAAAAATCACGCCCATGATTATCCCATTAGATGAGTCAAGCCTGATTTTTTGGCCTGGAGGGGCACACAATTTACAATGTAAAATAGATAAGATAAATATTTCGTGCTAGGTTCGGACCAAGAATTTTTTTTCTAGACAACAGGATCTGTGCCGCCCTGTCCATTAAGGCTTATGAGCGGACCAAAATTCAGCAGGCTCAGACCCTGCCCGTGGGCTATAGGCGGCCTTAATTTGCTTAGGTCTAGGATTTACAACCCAGAATGCCTTATATGAAACACTTTTAAACTCTGAATCCTTACATTTTAGGATAGAGGGAGTAATATATCTTCCCTTTACGCAAACAATCTGCTTATGTTCGATTTCCATTTACCATTACCATTACAGTACATATTTAACCAGGTCGCCTTGTGGAAACATTGGACCTGCATACTACAACATCCAAAGCAAAGGAGTAGTGAAAATTAAGGGCACAGTTAGTTCGCGAAATTTTTTGGGTTTGGCTACTGTAGCACTTTCGTTTGGATTTGGCAATTAGTGTCTAATTATGGACTAATTAGGTTCGAAAGTTTCGTCTTGCGATTTCTTACCCAACTGTGCAATTAGTTTTTTTTGTTTATATTTAATGCTCCATGCATGCGTCCAAAAATTTGATGTGATAGATAAAAACCAAAATTTTTTAGAACTAAACGCGCCCTAAATGTTCTGCCACTAATCGTACCCTGTCTACCTGAACTACTTTATTTCTTATATTAATTCTGCATGCATATAGTACTACTAGTAATAACTAACTTGACGCCAGATTCTACATAAACTGGCCTTGCGTGAAACCTGAATAATACTTGTCACTGGCTTGGTTCTTTGTTGCGCAACTAATCGCCTTCAGGGAAACGACGATGACAGGGTACTTGGTCTTCACTTTCTGGAGGTGCACTGCGACGTTCTTGGCATACAGCTCGAAGAGATCGTCGAGTACGTGCTCGCCGAAGTGGTGCGCGATGAGGGGCCCGATCACGGCCCTGATGGACTTAGCGACGTTGACGCCGCTCTGGACGCCATCGAGCACGAGGTCGCCGTCGTCCTCCATATGGTCGTGCGGATCCCAATTGGACTCAAAGAGCTGGATGTGGGTGACGTCGAATGCCTGGCTCTGCCTAATCACGTCCCTCACTTCGTCCACCGACGGGGCGTAGAACGGCAGGTTGAAGGAGTCCAGTTTCTCCTTCTCCACACGGCCCTGTGCCATGGTGCCATGCATGCAAATGCAATACATCAGCTAGCTAGGGTTCATCGGTTCAGTTCAGGATTTCCTTTGATGGATGATGTTGCACAAGACAGGAGAAGAAAACAGAGCAGACCTCTTTGACGAGGGACTGAAGAGCCTGCCCGAGGAGGCCCCACATGTAGCTGACCTCGCCACGGAGCACGTCCTTGTTCTTCCTGCCGAGGAACGCCAGCACCATCTGGCCACCGGAGACGAGCTCCCTGTGGCGCAGCCTGAGGAACAGCGAGAAGTCCTCCTGGAACTGCCTCCGGTACAGCGCCACCACCGCCGGCGGCGTGGTCTCCCAGATGTACATGTTGCCCTCGTTGAGGACGGCGCCTCCCGCGAGCTCGTCGGGGACCTTGGAGCGCCACATGAGGCAGTAGGAGGAGTGGAAGAGGTGCACGCAGCGGTCCGGGAACAGCCGGGTGTAGAAGGAGCCCGGCAGCCCGGCGACGTAGTACGGCAGCAGCGCGTCCCCCTTGTCCTTGACGGCCAGCTTCTTGAACAGCTCCAGCGACTGGAACACGTGGTTGAAGTCGTTCCCGGGCAGGTCGTTCAGGAAGAACTGCACGTGCGTCGCCGGGGGCTGGCTGCAGCCGGCGGCGGCCATCGCCAGATCCTCTCGGCGGTCGGCGACCGCTCCGAGCACCTCGGAGACGACAAGCAGCATGTTGGGCCCCGACGAGCAGCCGAGGTCCGCGACGACCATGGCACCGCCGCCGGAGGAGAGCGACGACGCGTGCGCCGCCGCCACGGCCTTGTGCAGCACCGGCCTCGTCTTGAGTATGGACTTCTCCTGAGGAACATGTATAAGCGAGTGTTGAGACGAGCATGCATATGCATACAGGTCCACAGTCATGCGCATGCAACATGAGCAGATCGGCAGAGACATGCATGATGTAGAAGAAGCAGCACAGGTACAGTACCTGAAGCCTGGAGTTGGAGGCGTAGCTGTCCTCGCCGTCGCCCCGGCTCATGTGGAGGTCGCGCTCTACCTTCATGGCTACTAGCTTCACTAACGCCAGGTGCTGTTCTGATGAGTGAGAAGCTTGCTTGCTTATCACTCTGCTGTGGTAGTTTGCATTGCAGAGCAGGAGAGGGAGGGGGCTTCTCAATTTATAGGCCCAGCCTGCCAATCAGCACTCATGAGCACAAGCTGAAAATTAACACTGATCTGCTGCATTTAACTAACCCAAACTGACGTTGCTTTAGGGTTTAGCTTTTCTCTCCCGGTGTCCATCCTACGTGTCTGGCGTTCAAATCACAGACGCAGCTTCGTCATGCCTTCCATTAATCACCTGGACCCCTTTCTCGTTGGACGTTGGTGGTGTCTCAGTTCCAACCCAATCATATCATTATCATATATTCACCAGCATGTGCATATTAGTCACAAACTCAAAACATATTTTATATATGACAATCAATAGAATGCACACAGGCGTGTTTAATTTGCAGTTCCTTGCCGTCGTATAGTAAATGTACATGTCGCAACGCGTTGACGAGCCGTGTGTGAACAGGAAATGGCATTGGTCGGGCGACCAATCTGAACCACTTATAATTAGATATAAAGTGGTGGTGTGATGCAGATGTTAAACAGAGAAGCGATTTTTTTTTTCAGGTGCATTTTCTTTACTTACCAAAATGCCCTTACGTCCCTCGCTACGATCCCTTATTGGCCCGGGCTCACAAACCATATATAGCAATGGTACAAAGTATGATTCCAAGCAGACGCATCAAGAGCAGGTATTACATCCCTTCCCCATCCCATCGAGAAATATAATTAACGAATCCTAAGGTAAACGGCGAGAGAAATGCAAGGCCAGAGGCCACTCTTCCTCCAGGTTGTCGCGAGAGAACCAAATCTAAGTTGGTGAAGATCATGATTTGGGCTGGCATAGCAGTTCCAATATGTATTGAAACAAATGACACGATTGTTGGACAAATCTCCATGCCGCAAATCGTCTAGGTGCGGTGACATGTGATGAAATAAGTAAATTATGTTACAACGTACATGCACATTTCTATAGAAAAGAAAAAAGACTGATGAACAGCTGTGTGGTTTCTAAAAAAAATCCCCCGTAAACACCAGTAACAGTATATATTGAATGATAGGTATACATATTGAACAGTAGCAAAGGCTCTCATCAGCTTCTTGGAATTTTAGATGCATGGATAGTGGACGTGTTTTTTTTCACTAAACGGTGAACAACGCCTAAAAACACTTGAACAACATGTTTTTTTAGAACTCTTTTACAGTGGCCTCTTTGTTCCTAAATGTCGACAGAATATCATCGGTAGTCCTCCGAGGGGTTCCCCATGAAGGTAGATTGATCGGCAGAGGAGCGCGTGATCAAGAACAAGAAGGCAACAGAGACACACGAGTTATACAGGTTTAGGCCGTCAGTATGATGTAATACCTTACTCATGTGGTCTGTTGGTTTGTATTAGCTATCGTATGATATGCCGTGATTCTGCCCGCCTTATATAGTCCGGGGGGCAGGGTTACAAGTCGGTTAGATCTGAGAGATAACCGGAAAGTAATAACAGATTACAAGAATCATGGGATCGTACGTATCCTAACATATCTCATAGTATCTTCAGGATATCTTCCTTATGTCTTGCGAAAGGCGCCGAGCAGAATCGTGCCCCGCAAGGCTTCATTTGGTGGGCTGGGCCGCCCCTGGGGGCGCAGCCCATGTGGTCTGCCATGGGTATCCGGGGTCGTACCCCTCATAGCTAGTCCCCGAGCGCCTTGTACCCGTTGTGCAACGCCGTCTTGAACTTGTTCGAGCAAGTGCGAACCAAAGCCGAGCAGTCCAACTCATGGTCCGACCACCGTGATGAGTCACCGAGTAGTTGCCGAGTAGCGTGCACCATAGCCGAGTAGCGTAGATCATCGCCGAGCAGCATGCCCCAAGCACGGCTTGCCATAAGGGTGTAAGGAGCTCAATTCTAGAATTGAAAATTTCTTCTCAGTGGACCAAGTATGCCCACTTAGAGTCCGACCACGAGAAAAGGAGATAATCTTCTTCGGCTTCAAGAGGCACAGAGTCTTCCAGAAAAAAACAAGCACATTCACCGCGAGGTGAAGTGTGCCCATTTAGTCCCCGAGCCTGACAGTAGATGACGTAGTCATGTGGTGCCAGGGTCCAAAGTAGAGATAAAAAACCAGCCGAACAGGCTGTTGGTCCCCGGTCGTAGCCCCTAAACAAATTAAAGCACATTCACCGCAAGGTGAAGTGTGCCCACTTAGTCCCCGAGTCTGACAGTAGATGACGAAGTCATGTGGTGCCAGGGTCAGAAACAGAGAAGTAATAAAAAACCAGCCGAGCGGGCAGCCAGTCCCCGAACTACGGGCGAAAATACCAGAGAAATCACATCGTGGAGAAAAAATTGGAGTAACGGCTGTACAGTAACGGTTACTGAGCCTCAATAAATGGCGGAGACTTCGGTGATTATTCAGCGAGTAGCGACAAACGACAGCGATTAATGGGCGACATGGGCTGCGGTTACGCAAAAGCCCAAGTAACGGCCCGTATACCACATCGGAGAAATTGGAGCAGCGCAGATCGTGGGAACGGTTCCCCAAAAACCCTTGAATGCGAAGAGGTGGGGAAAGTGCTTTATAACAGTGCCGCCGCAACCCACGCCGCCCACCTTTGCCATTCCTCCTGTCATCTTCCTTCCCAGCCCTTACGCTTCCCATCCGCACCGACGCGTGCATTCGCCTCCAATCTTAATCTAGACCTGAGAGAATGGCGCTGAAAAAGGGAGCCGCAAAGCCGAGGAAAGCGGCCACCGGAGCCAGCCGCGACGAGGAGTGGGTGCCGTCGAAGATGGGGAGGCGGAACTCAACAGAATGGTAGCGGCGGGCGTTCTTCCAGACCGCGTCACCGCCGGATGGCGGCCAGCCAGCGGTGAGCCCTTTCCTACACCTCACACTGATGAAGCTGTAGTATTTGAGGATTATTTCTGGCGAGGATTGGGGTTTCCTGTTCACCCTTTTCTAAGGGATCTTCTGGAGTTTTGGGCGATTAGCCTCTGCAATCTGCACCCCAACACCATACTACACGTCTCAGTCTTTATCCATTTCTGTGAGGCGTTTCTGGGGATTCTTCCACACTTCAACCTCTTCAGGCACCTGTTCTGGCTGAAGAAGAAAGGTAGCAGTGGTTCCAAGGTGGTCGGCGGCGTGTACCTGCAGCTCAGGGATGGGATGACCGGTGAGTACATCAATGTACCGCTGAATACTTCTCTAAAAGGATGGAACGCTAGGTGGTTCTACATCAAATAGAGCCACCCGATAATCCGATGCGACGTCCACCACATCCCGGAGAACCATAGTAGCTGGTCGGAAAGACCCAACAGCGCTGACATGGAGCAAGTGATGGAGCTTCTCGACTTGATTAAGGACTTGGAGCTTAGAGGTGAACTGGTTGCAGCAAGCTTCATTGTGCGCCGCATCCAGCCCTACAAAGAGAGGGCTCACCCATGCTTTGACTATAGGGGTGATGACGACGGGACCCGAGAAAGCACAGATCGGCTGATGAAGAAAGAAGTAATAGTCCGGGCCAGGGAGCTATTCACTTCCAATATCTCATTCAGCTGGCCAAAAGGAACGAAAGCCTTCAACTGCACTAACCCGCCTCCTGAGGTAACCATCTCAGTTTGCATTGTTCAATTGACAATTGCTGAGCAGGGAACTGACTTACTTATGCAAAGATCCATTCGTAGGACAGGGCAGTGTACTTTTCAGCCGTGTCGAGAGCCGATTGGCCACCAGCGGTGGACTCCCGACCAATAGTACAACCTGAAGAAAGTTATGTCAGTATCTCATCGGAATCTAGAGACACATATGTTGATTGCACGGCGAGTCCCCCCTAGGTCAGAGAAATCCCGATGGAAACGGGCAGCATCTCGCTTGGTGGCGACCAGACCACTCAAACACGTAGGGCCACGGTGATCGAGTGGTCTAATGACGACGAAAATCCAGTTGCTCCTCCTCTGAGCGTGCAGACGCCTTCACGCATCACACACGTGGAGGAGCAATCAAGGGGGGACGAAGAAGTCCTCGAGCAATAGACAACAGAAATGCCCGCTGAACGAGCGACAGGCGTCCCCGAGCAGCAGACGGAGATAAATCCAAAGCGACGGGCGGAGGAAACCCCGGAGCAGCAGGCGGAGTAGAGGCCGACTTTGGAGGAGAGGAGACCTCCACCCCCGAGCACGGGGGTCGACCCCCCCCCCCCGCCGTGCTTGGGGGCTCAGGCAGGCATCGGCGATTCAAAAAGTGCACCGGCAAACCAAACGGTGGGTATCCTCGCATTGGAGTTACTTTGCTATCTTATCTTAGTGTTTCTGGTGCTCAACCAAATGATCTGACGCAGCGCAAGGCACATGGAGGGTTCAGACCCATCCGCCCGGACTGACGAGCAGCCTTGGACTGATCCCGAGGCGGAGGTAATGCCGGTGGGCCCCATGTCGGGGTCCCCGGGTGCTCGGCAGCCGGTGGAGTAGTCAACGGCCGCTGCGGGTGGACTTGGAGACGGCGAGAGGTCGGCGTCGGCGGAGAACGGGCTGGCGACAACACGCGAAGCAACGGCGGGTACTATCGGGCCCTCGGGATCTGAAACTAGAGCTACCGGCATTGCACCAGAGTATGGGTCGATGGAACCAGAGGCGCATGAGGGGCTAACGGTGCCTCCTAAAGCGGCGCAGGGCATGGTCGGACCCGCAGTCCGGCCAAAGAGTCCCCCAGTGGTGCCGCTAGCTGTTGTGGAAGAGGAGGACGTGGTGGAGGAGATCATCCGTGCTGAACCTCAAACCCGATCCGTCCAAATCTTCCACAAGCGCGGTGACGAGGTGGTAGTTGTCGAGGAGGACACCCCCAAGGAGATGAGGCGGCTAAAATCTGCCCTTGCCAGAGTTGTAAAACAGATCGAGGTTAGTGTTGAATCATTAGTATTCGTCTTTGGTGTTTGAGATCGAGCTCCATCATTGT